CCAGGTAAACAAAAGCTAGGAAGACAGACTTTGGGCCCTGCAAAAAACCCCACTCTTTCCCCAGGAAAGAAAGCACAAAGGGCTTCCATTTCTCTTTGGAATACAAGAAAAAGAGGTAGAGGGAGAAGAAACACAGTATTTCAATAGATTATTCTGCCTCACTTAAGTAGCAGGATAAAATAACATTAAAAGCTTATGTTTTTGAGTGCTTACTATGTGCCAGCCATTATTCTAAGTGCTTGACATGTATTAACTCATTTCAGACTCACAATCCATCTTGTAGGTGTCATTATTATTCCTGTTTTCCAGATGGAGACCCAAGGCACAGAGAGTTGATGTCACTGGTATAAGGTCACAGAGCTACTAAGTGGAGGGCTAGTATCCAAACACAGGCAATTTAGCTCCAGAGACTGTACTCCTCTTTATGCCCCACTACCTCTCAATGGAACATATCATCTTCTTATCCACATAGATATTTTCAATCCCAGTAATTCCTAGATTTGGATGATTATCAGGTTTCATTCAGATCCTAGAGATATCTCCTTCTTCCCTATCTCATCTACATCTATAGGGCCTCTAAGAGCTGGATTTCTCAATAAGCCACCACAAGGACACATAACTTTCTTCATGTTAGCCCTTGGCACCAGTACCTTTAAATATAGAGCTCTATTATAAGTCATTGTTTCAAGCCAAACAGTCTTAGATAATAGTTAACTATGATCATGTGCAGATCTCTGGTTCAACCTACCACCGCTGGACTTAACTATATTACTTGTGTTAGTTGCTCTCAATGCATATGGCATAGGCTCTAGCAACTTTATTCAGAAAGAATCCTGCAGCTAATTTCTTCATGAAGGGGCTATGGGAGTGGTGGTCACCAAGACTATCAAAGATTACAGGCCAGGGTTATGCTAAATAATGAAGACATAATAACTTTGGAGCTTAGCAAGTATTCTAGTGTCACAAGTCAGGCTCCTAATAAGTCAGGCCCTATTTTCCATGTACCTTATCCTGGTGAACTGCTGTTTTTTTTTTCCAGAAAGAACCCTGAGCTCAATAATAGGATCCAATGGTGAATAAATGCCTTCTTGCCACTCTTACCCCTTCAAGTGGTAATTATGGCTGCATGTAAGAGTTTCTTATAATCAGTAAATCGGTAATAAAAACACTAAAGGAGCTCCTGGGTGGCTCAGGGGTTGAACATCTGCCTTTGGCTCAGGTCATAATCCTGGAGTCCCGGGATTGAGTCCTGTATCAGGCTCCCTGCAGGGAGCCTGCTTTTCCCTCTGCCTTTGTCTCTGTCTCTCTTTCTGTCTCATGAATAAATAAATAAAATCTTTTTTAAAAAGCTAAGGATGAATGTAAAAAATGTCTCTGAGTATATATTTGGACAATCCTTCTGGATTCTAGGTTAAGAAGTCAGAGCTTTTGCCCGAAAATATGAAGACGTGATGAGACATGATCAACACATTCAGAGCTTTTCCAGTGCATGAGTGTGATCTGCCCAGATGGGTCCCTCAGACCTGTTAGTTGCAGGACTTGAGTAAATAAGAAAGAAATATAAGCTGAAGTTACACATATACATATATTTTATATATAAAATATCTTTTATTCTGCTTTTTTTCATTGTCAGTGATAATCATAACATGTTAGATCTGAAGTCAGAATCAAAGATAGTACAAGGTCAGAGAAGCCAGATATAATCAATGATAAACTCATGAAATGGAGCCTAAGAAAAAAAAGCAGCTGTGTTCATTGGACAAGGAGTCCAGTCAAGAAAAGTCATCATAAGTGGTTAGTCCATATCCGGTTAGTCCATAGCCCCATCCCTTTGCTATTCTTTAAGATAGGAGTTATAGAGATGTATATATATATATATATATATATATATATATATATATAGAGTGATTTTCATCTTTCTGCCTAGAATCTTTATTAAGATTGGACCATCTCATAAGATCAGTAGATTTTTCAAGTCATGCATCAGTGAAACTCCTCTTATCTGTGATTATGTCAAATCCTCTATATCCTTTTATGTGCATAAACTTAAATGGTTGTCAAGGTGAATCAGCTTGCAAATGCCTGGGCTGGAAAATTGCCCTACCTGTTTCTGTTCTTCATATTTACCATGCTAACTCTTCTTTTGATGCTTTCATCCCTGCGAGCCTCTCCCTAACTTTGCCCTTCCTTCTCTTTAAAAATCTGAATCAGGTATTTCCTTCAAGGATCAGTCCACTGCCCAATGATAATCATGACATGTTGGATATGGAAATATCTTTAGGGCTCTCCAAAGCCCACTCACTTGTTTTGTAAATGAGAAAATTGAATCCCAGAGTAAGTAAGTGACATACCTACTACTCCTGAAACCTAGGTAATCTTATTTCCAACTTGCTGCACTTCTTACCCCTGCACACCAACTCAGGAGGCATTAGTCATATCTCTTTGCACAGCTACATTTAGAAACATTTGAAAAAATAGATATGGCATCAGAGACAAAAATATCGGCTTTACTGCCGATAAGGCTTGGAGAAAGTGGCCTGGATCTGTGGTCACAAATGGGCTTCTAATACATGTCACTTCAATTGTCCTCCACATCAAACCGGACTGACTTGGCACCAAGACAAAGAGCCAAGGAGCCTAGACTCAGGGCACTTAACACATAGCAACATCATGGTGGGGAAAGGCAGGTCTGAGCCCCACATACTCAAACTTTCTTCCCAATTTCATCAAATATAAAAGTCATTCCTCCTCTTGGATAAAAGAAGTAAGAGGTAGGGGGAAAAAGCAGAAGTTCTATTCAATATTCATGAAGGGGTGAAAGTCCCTCTTTTGTAGATCATGTTTGGAAGGAATGCATGAGGAGGAAAATTACCCCCTCCCATAAGCTTCAATTCCCAACAAGTTTGTAAGAGACTCAAATCTGGGCCTATGTTTTATCAGTAGATACTACAAATGAAAACTTCTATTTAAAAACACGTAACATCTTTTTTCCCTTCTTGATTTCCCTTGGGGAAACCATACCTCCTCTGAAGTTGTTAATGACATTGTAGTAGAGCTGGTAGCCCTACCCCATCCTTCACCCAGTTCTAGGAGTGAATATACGACCTGGGCTAGAGACCAAACAGGCACAGTAGTGGATTTAGAAATGGGCAGGTAAAATAAACTGTGCCAATAAGAATTTAATTGAGACTTTGCTTGAATTATTAGGAAAGAAATGGCACTTTCTGCTGGGCTTGTTAAGCCTAGATAATGTAAGCCTAGGGTTGCCAGTTACCAGCTTTGTCATCATGTGGGAAGAGTCTGCCTAATAATGATGCAAACATTGGGAAAAGTGAGCTGACACATAGGCAATGACAAAGGGAGAAACATGGGGAGATCCTAATGATATCATCAAGCCCCAGTACCCAGTTGTTCCTTAAGCCAGATTGACCTCCAGACTTTTTAACTATGTGAGCAAATGACTTTTTCTACATAATATTTTAGCAATATGGAGTAGGGTTTCTATCATAACTGAAAGGCTACTGATGAAAACACCTCTTTTGACAAGGCTAGAATGATTCCTCTCACTTTTGTGCTTTTCTGATCCACAGTCTTTGCCTATTTCAAAATCCATTAATTATCATTGGGATGACACAAATGAGCTGTTTCTTTTTACTCTCTTTCTTTATGATTATTTTTTAAAAGATTGTATTTATTTGATTGAAAAAGAGAGTGCATGAGCATGGGTAAGAGAAGGAGACTCCCCACTGAGCAAGGAGCCTGATGCAGGGCTTGATCCCAGGACCCTGGGATAGAATAACACTTAACCAACTGAGCCACCCAGGTGCCCCTCTTTATAATTATGTTTAATGCATGTGTTTCCCCCTTCCCAGTTACTTTGTAGGTATTTGCATGCCAGAAATGAGGTTTTACTCTTATTTTTTATTCCCCAATTTTACTGAGACATATTTGACATGTAACATTATGTAAGTTTAAGGTGTAAAACTTGATATATGTGTGTGTTGTGAAATGATCACCACAGTAAGGTTAATTAACACATTTGTCTTTGTTTCTCTGAGTTCAATTTCTTTTAGATTCCGTATATAAGTTAGATCATGCAGTATTTATCTAGACAAAATGACAAAGCAACCTACAGAATGGCAGAACATATTTTCAAATCATATATCTGATGAGGGATTAATATCCAAAACATATAACAAACTCATACAACTCAGACAAAAACAAAAATGTGATTATTCTTCTTCAATCTTCACATTGCTGGTAACTCAATAGATTCATTGAGTCAACCTACTAGAGACTTTTAAAGGCCTGACTATGCAATAGGCATCTCAAATTTTACTTTGACCAGCACAACATACACGAATCTAGTAGCTCTTAATAATTGTGATCAAATATTTAGGTTTTATTGCTTATTTTATTATGAACATGAGTGCATTAGTCTTAATAATTGTGATCAAATGTTTAGGTTTTATTTGCTTATTTTATTATGAACATGAGTTTGTCAGTTTGGGTGCATTTTATTTTTTTTGTAGATTCAACATCTAATGAGCTTGATGAAGGCTTGAGAGGAGAACATAGTTCTTGTGACAGAATACAGGCTGATTTTAATCTTGGTATCCTCTGGTAAAGGATTAGTATACAAAATATATAAAGAACTTCTATAACTCAACACCAAAAAAGCCCCAAATAATCCAGTTTAAAAATGGGCAGAAGGCATGAGCAGACAATTCTCCAAAGAAGACATCCAAATGGCCAACAGACACATGAAAAGATGCTCCACATCACTCATCATCAGGGAAATGCAAATCAAAACCACAATGAGATATTACTTCATACCTGTCAACATGACTAAAATGAAAAACACAGGAAACAACAAGTGTTGGCCACAAGTGAATGTGGAGAAAAATGAACCCTTGTGCACTGTTGTTAGGAATACAAACTGGTGCAGCCTCTCTGGAAAACAGTATGGAGGTTCTTTAAAAAATTAAAATTAGGAGAGAAGATGGCGGATGGCGTGGACCACATAGACATCTACGCGGATGTGGGCGAGGAGTTCAACCAGGAAGCTGAATATGGTGGGCATGATCAGATAGATTTGTATGATGATGTCATCTCTCCATCTGCAAATAATGGAGATGCCCCAGAAGACCGTGATTACATGGACACTCTCCCACCAACTGTTGGTGATGATGTGGGTAAAGGAACAGCACCAAATGTTATCTATATGTATACTGGAAAGAGAATTGCATTGTATATTGGAAATCTAACATGGTGGACAACAGATGAAGACTTAACTGAAGCAGTTCATTCTTTGGGAGTGAATGATATTCTGGAGATAAAATTTTTTGAAAATCGGGCAAATGGCCAGTCAAAGGGGTTTGCCCTTGTTGGTGTTGGATCTGAAGCATCCTCAAAAAAGTTAATGGATCTGTTGCCTAAAAGAGAACTTCATGGTCAGAATCCTGTTGTAACTCCATGCAATAAACAGTTCCTGAGTCAATTTGAAATGCAGTCCAGGAAAGCTACACAATCAGGACAAATGTCTGGGGAAGGTAAAGCTGGTCCTCCAGGAGGCAGTTCACGTGCAGCATTTCCACAAGGTGGTAGAGGACGGGGCTGTTTTCCAGGGGCTGTTCCCGGTGGGGACAGATTTCCTGGACCAGCAGGACCAGGAGGGCCACCCCCACCTTTTCCAGCTAGACAGACTCCGCCACGTCCACCCTTGGGCCCCCCAGGCCCACCTGGTCCACCAGGTCCTCCACCTCTGGATCAGGTTCTGCCTCCCCCTTTAGCTGGGCCTCCTAATCATGGAGATCGCCCTCCACCTCCAGTTCCAGGCTACGGCCCCCCTCCTGGCCCACCACCTCCACAACAGGGACCACCTCCACCTCCAGGCCCCTTTCCACCTCGCCCACCCGGCCCTCTTGGGCCGCCCCTTACACTTGCTCCTCCTCTGCATCTTCCTGGACCACCTCCAGGTGCCCCACCAGCTCCACATGTGAACCCGGCTTTCTTTCTTCCACCGACTAACAGCGGCATGCCTACATCAGATAGTTGGGGCCCACCACCAACAGATCCGTATGGCCGACCCCCACCCTATGACAGGGGTGACTATGGGCCTCCTGGGAGGGAAATGGATACTGCAAGAACGCCATTGAGTGAAGCTGAGTCTGAAGACATTATGAATAGAAATAGGGCAATCTCAAGCAGTGCTATTTCAAGAGCTGTATCTGATGCCAGTGCTGGTGATTATGGGAGTGCTATTGAGACATTAGTAACTGCAATTTCTTTAATTAAACAATCTAAAGTATCTGCTGATGATCGTTGCAAAGTTCTTATTAGCTCTTTGCAAGATTGCCTTCATGGAATTGAATCCAAGTCTTATGGTTCTGGATCAAGAAGACGTGAACAATCAAGAGAGAGGGACCATAGTAGATCACGAGAAAAGAGTCGGCATCATAAATCCCGTAGTAGAGATCGTCATGATGATTATTATAGAGAGAGAAGCAGAGAACGAGAGAGACACCAGGATTGGGACCGAGACCGGGACCGAGACCGGGACCGAGACCGAGAACGGGACCGAGAGCGCGAGTATCGTCATCGTTAGAAGAAGCTGAAGGAAGAGGAACACCTTCCAAGACAAAACAGTCTTCATGGGGGAAAAATGATGCTTGTCCAGCAGTTTGCTTCTTGTGATTGAACTGAACCTGTAAGGATTCATGGATAAAATGAACAGGAATAGATCTGAATAAAGCAAATCTGCATAAATGGTAACCAGTAGCTCTACTTTTATTTTTTATGTTGCTTAACTGTTTTATTTGAAGGAAACCTGTGTGATTTAAAAAGTTATAGCTTTTGCAACTTTATTACTGGTTATATACATTTGGCCATTATAATGTGCAAGCAATTGGAAAAAAACCGTCAATTAAATGCTTGTTTTTATAGTAGTTTGTTCTTGTTAAAAATGTTCATATGATAATGTCTGTAAACAGCACCACTTTGATTACAATAGATGTAGTGTTGTAATAAACTGTTTAATGGGGACAAAAAAAATAAAATTAGAACTACCATATGATCCAGTAATTCTGCTTCTGAGTCTTTACCCAAAGGATACAAAAAACACTAATTTGACAAAATATATGTACCCGTATCTTTATTGCAGCATTATTTACAATAACCAAATTATGGAAGAGACCCGAATGTCCATTGATAGATGAATTGATAAAGAATATATGGTACACATATACAATGGAATATTACTCAGCCATGAAAAAGAATGAAATCTTGCCATTTGCAACAACATGGATTGATCTAGAAGGTATAAATGCTAAGTGAAATTAGTGGGCAGCCCCGGTGGCTCAGCGGTTTAGCGCCACCTTCAGCCCAGGGTGCGATCATGGAGACCCGGGATCAAGTCCCACATCCGGCTCCCTGCATGGAGCCTGCTTCTCCCTCTGCCTGTGTCTCTGCCACTCTTTCTCTGTGTGTCTCATGAATAAATAAATAAAATCTTAAAAAAAGAAATAAGTCAAAGAAAGAAAAATACCATATGATTTCACTCATATGTGGAATCTCAGAAACAAAACAAAGAGAAAAAGAGACAAACCAAAAAACCAGACTCTTAACTATAGAGAACAAACTGATAGTTACCAGAAGGAAGAGGATTGAAAGGTGGGGGGATGAGATAATGGAGAGTAAAGAGTGCCCTTGTCATGATAAGCACTGAGTGATGTATGGAACTGTTGAATCACTATATTGTACACCTGAAACTAATTTAACACTGCCTGTTAATTACACTGGAATTAAATTTTTTTAAACCAACTAAAAGAATAAACAAGGAAAAAATAGAGTCAAAAAGAACAAAACAACCTAGAATTCTAGACACAAAGTAAAGCTGAAAAAAAGTTTTTTTACAGCAAACATAGTAAAACAAAACAAAACAAAAACAAAAAAATGTTTTAAAGTTCTTGAAAGCTGAAAGGAAATTATTCCAGATATAAATAGAGAAGTGAAAGAAAGCATGAACAGGACTGAAAGGGGTCAATATTTTGGTAATTGTAAAAGACGATTGACTAAAACAACAACAATAATAGAGTTTTGTGGAGTTAAATGTTAATATGGTATGTAATAACTAAAAAGGTGGGAGGGATAAATAGATCTGAACTGCTAGGAAGTTCCTGCATTGCTCTGAATGTGGCAAAAGTACTAATTTAAGGTAGACTGTAAAAAGCAACAGGTTCATTTGAAATTTCTAGGATGACTTATAAAAGAATAATACAGAAGGCATAACAAAGAGGTAAATGGAAGAGAGAACAATAAAGGACCACACTTCATTAAAACAAGGAAAAAAACAAGGGTTGTTCAGTGGTTGAGCGTCTGCCTTTGACTCAGGTCATGTGTCAAAATCTTTAAAAAAAAAAACAAGAAAGAAAAGGGAAGAATAAAGAAATAAATGAGACATAGTGCAAGTAGCAAGATGGTAGGCTTAAGGTCAACTATATCAGTAATTATATTAAATATAAATACACTAAACACTCTAACCCAAATAAACTAAATTACCAGACTAGATTTTTAAAAGTAGACCTCCCCCAACCATGTATGTTTACAAGAAACAAGAAACACACTTTTTAATTTTTTTAAAGATTTTATTTATTCATTCATGAAAGACACAGAGAGAGAGGCAGAGACATAGACAGAGGGAGAAGCAGGCTCCATGCAGGAAACCCAATATGGGACTCAATCCCGGGACTCCAGGATCACGCCCTGAGCCAAAAGCAGATGCTCAACCACTGAGCCACCCAGACGTCCCAAGAAACACACTTTAAATGTAAAGACATAAATAGATTGGAAGCGAAATGAAGGAGAAAGATACACCATGCAAATACCAACCAAGAGAAGTGTCTGTTTTAACATGAGACAAAATATATTTTAAGGAAAGAAGTATTATGCAAGATCAGAAGTAATATTTCATAATTGTAAAAGTCTCAATTCAATGGGATGATATAATAATTCTAAATATATATGAACCTAATAACATAGCATTTATATACATGTGCATGTATATCTTGAGACCGCTGCTGGAAAACATGTGATTCAAATGGACTGGCTAGTAACCAAACCAAGAGATAATACTGAATCATGATTCTTCACTCTGGACCAGCTCCCATTTAAGGATTTCTTCTGTCTTTTTGAAACAAGAGTCTCCATCTCTGACAAATGGGCTAGATTGGAGATAGGGATAATTTATTCCTTGTTCTTAAGCTGTATTCCAATGAATGGTTCTTTGCAATCGATGTCATTATTAAACTGTTGTGGGAAGGGACTGTCAGTGGTTGGGATGGAACTAAGGAATCAAGCACATCTCAATTCTCAGGCCTGCCTGCTCCCAGTCTGATTTGCTGATATTTTCAGACTCCCTGGTTTTGTCTTCTCTCTCTCTAACTTCAACATAGGAAATCCTTATACATTCACCATGGCTCTCAACCATCTAAAATTTTTTGGCAGAGGGAAGACATGGCCTTGTTTAAGAAAACTTTGTGCCCTTTTTTTCCACTTACATATGGGCCAGTGTGGATCACAGCTGCTTTCCACGCAGATACTTGCTGAGAGCTACAAAAAGTGGCAACCATCTCAGCATCTTGATCTTTTCCAAGATTCGGACCAACAGTTACACGGACTGATCTACAGGATGCAATAAAACCAGCTTAACCAGATGGTTTGCAAATTTATAATAAAGTTAACCATCTTCCCAGTTGGAGATGAAGGGATCCTCCTGCCCACCTTCCTGTTTCAAAGCAGCAAATTCCATACTGTAGGTCTGTCACTCTCTACATGCCAGTTCTGTTTCCAATTTTGATTTAGACAGGCCTCTTTCAGATAAAGGCAACAGGAACTGATTTCAAAGCAATTTAAGCAACAAAGAGATGTATTGGCTCACAGAACTGGAAAGTCCAAGGGCAGATCTGGCAGAGCTGGATCCAGGAGCTCAACAATGCTGTCTGGGTTCTTTTCTTGTCTCTGAGTTCTCTGTGCCTCATTTCTGTGCCTCTCTTCATGCTGCTTATTTATTTGTTGAGCTCTCTCAATTTGGCAGGGGAGATGGCTGCTGGCAGTTCTCAGGCTGTATTTTTACAACCCCAAATTACAAAGGTAAAGAGACCTTTCCCCCTACCCCCGCTCCAGGATACTCCTAGAAAAATCTCACAAAAGGATTCTGATTGGCCGCCTTGGTTCATGAGATGTTCTCTGTACAAATTGCTGTGTCTGGGGAAGATCTAGTATGAGGATTGGCCTGGTCTGGGTATCATACTCATCTCTCCTCCCAGTCATAGATATACTTGTCTAAAAATGCCTATAAATTTATTCTATTCATTTCCTTATTCTTCAGTGAACTCTGGACTGTCCTCCACCAATCCAACAAAACAGCCCTTAGGAAAGGTCATCATTGACCTCCATGTCACCAACTCCAATGGACACACTACCATCCTCCTATTTTATCTCTCGGAGTCATTTGACACAATTAATCTTTTCTCCTTCTTAAAGAACACTCCTTTGGCTTCCATACTACCACATTCTACTGCTTTTCCTTCTATCACTCTGCTCCATGCTCCCCAGTCTGCTCTGCAGGTCCATGCTCCTCTTTCTAGGTATTCAATGTTGGAGTTCCTTAAGGTTCTGTCCCAGTATTTCTGTCCCTATCCTTTCCATACTCACTCCCTAAGTTACCTCATCCATATCCATAGCTTGAATTACATGTAAGGATCAATGACTCCCAAATTAAATCTCTAGCCTAGATCTTGCTTGTAAGATCCACTTGATATATCCAATTTGATATCCTGAAGACCATTTAACTAAACACCTCCAGATCCAATCCTCCTTCGGTGTTAACTATCATCCACTCAGTACCTAGAACCAAAAAGCTAAGTGTCATCCTTAACTCTCCCGTCCTTCACCCCTCCCACATTGAATACATGATAAATCCCAGTTAATTTTACCACCTAAATATTACTAAAATCCATCAAATTCTCTCCATGCCATCTACCACCAGCCTACTTTATCTGAAGGATTACAAAAAACCTCCTATCTAGTCTTCCTGAATCTTCTCTGGCTTCTTCTTCTGTAATACATACTCTGAATTGTAGCCAGATTCCTTTTTTCAAACAGCGAATCTGATCATATCATTCATTTCTAAAATAAGACTTTAGTGGTTTTACATTGCTCCTAAGATAAAATCAAAGTCTGTGATGTGGTTGCATAGCTTCTCATGGTTTGTCCTCCCCAGGCTCACCTCTTGTCATTTTCTATCTTGTTATCAGAGGCTATTCCACCTCATGGGCTCCTCCTACAATAGGGCGTGGGATGATGCCCAGTGTTCTTCCCTGCTAGTCTTTTATCTGTTTAACTCTTTCCCAACACTCAGACCACAGAATAGGTGCCCATTATCTAGCCCACTCTACTCTCCTCTAGGCTATGTAAGGGTTTTTTTCTATGTTCTTATGGAACCTTTATGATATTTTTAGTTGAATTGTTCTGCTATTGAGCACCTAGTTGAATCAACTCTTATAGTTCACTGCCTTTTGCTTTTTGGTATTGGTTTTGGGGGGATTTGTGTGTGTGTGTGTGTGTGTGTGTGTGTGTGTGTGTGTGTGTGTGAGAGAGAGAGAGAGAGAGAGAGAGAGAGAGAGAGAAAGAGAGAGAGAGGCTTTTTTTGTTTGGTTTTGTCCATCTACATTCTTTGGTTTTGCATAACTGATAAGATTTTTTTTCATATATCTCAAAGCTTTCTTGAGGATATATCTAATTCAGTTTGGAGAATTGCTTTGAATTTTATTTGGCTTTGTGGCTTGTGGGGGGAGATAATTTTCACCACTTATTTTTCTGATTCGTTTTACAGTAGTTTGTATGCATGTGGTCTGCTTGTTTGATCTTCTATTAATTCCCTGGATGGGATTCCTAGTTAGAGAATGCTCTCCTGTCTGTTCTAGTGTCTTCTGTGAAGAAGTGTTATTGGTGCAAGGGAGAGACAGAGGGGCTGACGTGTCTTG